AGTAACTCTGATATAAAAGTAATTTGTTTTTTACATTAACTGTCAGCACAGCCTTCATGTACGCGAAGCCCTCATAATTTTTTATAACATTTTCAACACTTAATTATAAATTTGAATAATTTTTTTTTCAAAATTAATTAGTTGTGTAATGAAATCATGCTTTTAATACAATGTTTATATAAGTTAATAATCTGGAAAATATTTTTAAAACTTAGTTAAACAATGTTTATTTTAAAATACAATCTTTATAATTATTTGGAATTAATTGTGAAATAAAACATAAATATAATTTACTGATTGTAGTGACAGGTGATATTCAAATAAACTATATTTCTATCACAACTTTATAATTGGCCTCAATTCCCATGAATACATAACAGCATTATATAATATTCAATAATATTCAAAACCAATAACAATGATTAGCTAAAAGTCACAAATGGTGTGAATATTTTATTTTATATCGCAATTAAGTAATTAATGTCTTTTTTTGACAAAAGCTTTAAAATTCTTTAATGTCTTTACACTGAATTGAACCGTATATTCACAACGAATTAATTCACAAAAAGTGTTTATATTTGCTGTGTTTGTAGCCATGAATTTAAAACATGTCCATTAAATCATACGCTTATGGACCAGAATTTTGATTAACTTTTCAATTACAATAAGTCTATAATAATAATACATGTATTTCAATGCAGCCATAAAAACGAGACACTATTTTATTTGTCTGATACTCTGTGACCATGGATTGCAATATATTGTGATCCCTAAGCAGACCATCATTTTATTGATGTCTACAATGAAAATAACTATTTTTTTTTTGTTATAAATTACATTTGATTCAAATTTCTAAATGTCATCCAAAATCCTAATCAAAATGTGTTTATATATGTGAAACAAATTCAAGCCAAAGATCAGACGTCAGAATATCCATAAAAGGCTTAAAATAGTCGCCGATTGTTAATCAAAGTCTGTGTGAGATTTACAGCTAATGATAATGTGTTTGCGTTGGTATTAAAAGCACTTTTTTTTATTAACTCATGTCATGAAAACAGCGTATTATCCATCAATCTATACGACAAATCTCTTCATAAGATACAGAAGTTATCATTTTATTGCAATCAAAATCGCATCAAATATAAAACTTTACTTTTGCAATGAAATTGAATGCATTATATCAAGGATTCAAGAATCCTTTGACTTACAGTAAATCTATAGTTATCGTCATTTCAATGCCAATCAATATCTCACAGAATATGTTAAAGTAAATGGAAATTATTTTATGGATTGAATCTGTATTTTATTGGTATATTTGTACACAATTTTGCGTTCATTTAGATATAAATCTATATTTTGTACTCTATAATATGTTTTGCTAACGAATTTATGAATTTGTTTTGAGTTTCATTAAAGGCTGATTTTAAATTGCTAACAAAAAAGTAAATTATCAAAATAACGTTTTAGTAACTTGAATTGAAAAATCAATGAACAAAACTCAATACAATATACAATATTTATAATAAGTTATTAAACTATTGAATTAAATATCAGTTAAATAAATGAAAAACAAAATTAATAATTCATTTATTCGCTTACGAAATGAGTTAAGGAATAAAAATCATGTGTTTTATTGATTCAATGTTTGCAAATGTAATGCATTTAATGATTTCGTAATGTCTTAAGACTCAGTCGAAGTAGAAATTGTAGAACTGGTTAACGATGTGTTGGCAGTCATATCGAGACGAGTGGTGAACATGTCTTCGAGGTTCGGGCAGTCGAGGACAGCGGCGCCGACACTACTCCTCCTCAACATCATTGACATAACTAATGACCATTTGTTGGTCAACGGGTCGTACGTCTCCACTGTATTCAAACTACTGCTGCCGTCATTACCGCCGATGGCGTACAGAAGACCCTCGGCTTCAATCACTTCATGTGTACTCCTGTAATGAAAATTCATTTTAAACCATAAGAAACCAAAACCAAACTTAAGAGCGATTACCTTCTGGAGTGCAAGCTGCCTTGGCTAAGGGTCCGTAAGGAGTTGCCTAGTTTAGCGAGCCGTGATGTGTACGTTTCCCTCGGCAGTAAAGGAGGCTGTTGCATATCGACAGACAGGTCTCGCCGCTGTGGCGTTGACGATCGGCGGCTTATCATCGCTGGCATTGACTGCCATTTGCCCTCCTTTTACATTAATTTTATGCAATTTTGTTAAACAACTATTTTATTTGACAATTAATTTAAATGATAACTCACTCGTGGATCAAACCTTTCAATGGATGACTGATAGTTGGAGCCGTCATAACCACCCACTAAAGGATTATTGTTTTAAATTAACAACAACTTAAGGAAAGTGTTAGAAATTATTGATTCAAACCTGCATAGAGACAGCCCTCGAGTACTGATAGTCGACAATATCTTCTTCTGGTTTCCATCGCCTGTACTGAAGACCATTCGGCCACTAATGGGTCGTAACGCTCGACACTATTCAGACACGAAGCACCTGATGGTCGACAATAAATTAATACCAATTAGTGTTTATCACAAAATCAATGATCAATACATACCGTCATAACCTCCGGCCACGTATAGAAGACCATTAAGTGCGGCCACTCCTAAACAACTTCGCTTTGTTCCCATATGTTTAATATTAGTCCACTTATTCATCAACGGGTCGTAGAACTCAGCCGAAGACAAGTCTTTTGTGCCATTATATCCGCCGATTGCAAACACTAATCTATTGAGTGGTACGACACCGGCTCTGGACCTCCTCTGAGTGGTCGGCGCCAAAGAACCCCATCGATCCAGTCTTGGGTTATAGAACTCGCACTCGTTATGAATGGCGAACAGAGAGCCGCCGCCGATGGCGAAGATATACGGCTTAAGACCGTCGGGAGTCCGCTGTTGGGTCCGCACCGACAGCATTCCCCGACGACTCTCGGGGCTCAAGTGATAGATCATGGCCTCAATAAGTAGATCTTTGCCCGATTGGTTGGACTTAATGAGCGTATCTTTGCTGACCTCATCCAACAGGAATGTGCGCTCCATCAGCGGTAGCCTCACGTGTTGCATAAGATTCCCCACATATTGTTCCCGGTGTTTGAGGTCGTGCTTCAGCCACGACATGACAGCGCTGTACACCATCTCCTCATTGCCGACGTTGAGCTGATCGCTGGCGATCAGGTTCTCCACTTCGGTGATGGGCAACAGTAGGAACTCTTCGGTTTGGGCCACTTCTTGGAAGTTCTCCAACGCGTACTTATGGGAAGTGGTCTGGAGTTCTTCGCAGGAGTGGGCGTCGGCGAAGCTGCGAATGCCGAGACAGTTGGAGGGGTGGAGTTGTCTCAATAGGAACTTACAACACGCCTCCCGAACCGACGACACCTGCAGAAGACTGGCCGCCGGCAGAAGCGACTGTACGTTCTCTTCGGTGATACAGATCTGTCCCGTATAGGCGTAATCGACTAGAAGGTTGAGTGCAGTCATGTCCAGGTCGTGGAGTGTTATCACAGTTTTGTTTCGCTCTGCCATTTCACCTGAAGGAAAGGGATGTCATTGCCGTTCAGTGCCATTCATTATACCAACGTTTGTATGAATTATGATTTAATAGAAAATATTTCTTTTCACAAACTTTTCTAAACATTTTATGACAAGAAGTGGTTTCCTTATGAAATGTATAATATTTATATAATACTTGTTTGTCTTGTCGTTTACTCCCAAATATTGTTCATTCATAATATCTCAACGAAAACTTCACTATATTTTTTAATTAACCCAAAACTGTTAAACCATATTTGATTTGTACGCCAATGTATTTATAACTAATTTAATTCACTGCTCAACAGATTTGTACAATAATAGGTATCGAATTGAAAAACTTTTAAATAAAGTTATTAAATGAATTAAAGTATCAGAAAAAAGTAATTAAATTCAAATACACTTATGTCTCGTATAACTAACGAAGCGTTAAATTAATTTCTATAATTAGTGTTTGGATGGGATTTGTATCAAAAGAAATACTATTATTATTATTTAACCGTTAATTCAACGATAGAAATAACAACAAAACAATTAAAACAAAAAACTATTTTTTCTCTCCTCATTAACCGCTTGAGAGGATCGCAATTGGGGTTCAATTTTATTTCTTTTTGCTTAAGACAAGTGCTGTGCAAAAGAGGGTCTTCTTATCAGATGCGAGAATTTTTAGGCACAAAAAAAATCCGTTTTCGGGATTCACTTACTGTTAAACATAGCGTTGAAGTAAGCGCTGGCGGCGGCCAACACAACCTTATGGGCTTTCAATTGGCGCACATTAGCCGCCGGCACTGTAGTCGACCCGATGGCCGTTGTGGTAGTCGGCGGTGACCCACCGGAACCGCTATTATCGAGCACTTCCAGCGAGATGTCACACAATTGATTGCTTTGTCGCATAGCATTCATGGCCGAGAAGGCAGAGCCCAAGTGATCGGAGTTAACATAATGTACTTGCGGTAGACGTACGCCATCGTTGGTCGGCGGCAGAGTCTCCATGAACTCGACTGACCCGTCCATCTTCTCACGCGATTTACTGCATTATTAAACACAAAAAAATGAAACAGAAATAAAAAATCAATACATTTATTGCATTTTAATTATAGTCATTAGAAGTGAATGCATAAAAATTTTCTATTGAGTGATCTATTATTAGGAGTAAAAAAAGTGAAGTCCGAATCCAAAGCCAGAAATTACTTTTTGGAAACCCATTAGAATAATAATAGAAATCCAGAAAATAAAAGTTTGAATTGTTTATGAGATATGAGATAAGCGGAGAAAAGATATTTTCAATGATAGCGAGAGAATCACTAAATTATTACAGCGTAACACTAATGGTCAACATTATAGCCAAACATAATCCAAGTGTTTGTATGTTTCAATCTTCTCATCACTAATAGTAATCAACATTCAATCGTATCGACAGATCTCATGATCATTGGGTGGCGTCCGGGGACTGGCAGTCGTGGGACACAAAGTAGTTGTCGACAAAACCGATCCTAATATTACATTACAAGTGAGTTGTGAAGTGAGGATACATTGAAGAGAGAAGTTTTTGTGAGTTTGTGAAGAACCGCTCACTTGTCAGTGGTATAACTGGCACTGAAACACACTTTTCTCTCCCTCCTTCTCTCTCTATACCTCTCTCTCGCCTATGAAAACTAGTCGACAATTTAGGGCTTACCATATGTGCCACAAAATACACGATGAGATTGCGTTCACACAAAAAAATTAACTTTTTATGTTTAACTGTTTGATAACTTTTGTGTTTCTCTCCGACAAAACAACTAAAGTATAAGAAATAGCGCGCAATCGGAATATGTGTTTCAAAAACATACACTCATTCACTCATAATGTGATATAATATCGATTTATTAATTTATTTATATATAAAGTTTATGTTTAATAATATATTATTAGTCTTGTATTTTATTTGTAAAAAGAGAAAATTCAATATCAATATCGACAGAAAAAAGTATATTAGTCTCTGGTTTCAAATCAATACGAGAAAAACTAATTAAAAACACTGAACACACGATATATGCATATAATTAAGGTATGAATTAATCTCACAATTAAAATGCATGGGAACTGCAGGACGAGTGAAGAAAGTATACGTTGGGCAGTGATATACCGCTTAATTCATAGCAACAGCTCTTCGACAACAGCGCTGAACACGTTATGAATGCATTTTGTGGACGAATACTGGGTTTTGTGCCTAACATTGCGCTCATATATACAGTCGAACCGTTCGATCGAGGAATAGATTCTTCGGTTTCCAACACTCCATACATAACACATACACACAAACAGAGAGCCAGAGAGTGCCCTAACTGTGCATAAGTGCCGGCGCAGGGCATACACCAGCCATCGACACGTTGCTATGTTTTTGACACACGTTTACAGAATAACTGTATGTAATCGCTATATACACATACAGTAGAGCCAAAGCACACCACAGAATATATCCATTAAAATTCTATATATCATTTAAAGGGAGAAAATTATGCACAACTTTTATACACACTTTTATCATAATCATATATATAACAAAGGGGTGAATGGCCTCCGCTCTGGCAGACACTAGTAGGCAAAGTGATAGATGTTGGAGAAAGTGTGAGGGCTTTTGAAAGACAATGTTAGGTTAGTTTTTCGTGTGTGAGATGTAATCAATTGCATACATATTCATGTGTATGTGTTTGTATAGGAAGAGACAGAGAGACACATACGCTGAGTATGTTTAACAACGCGGAACCGCTTATTGCAGAGCTTTTATCAAAACATTTCGCATTAAACTATTATTTAAACACAAAAAAAATATTTTTCTCTCATTCACCACTTCTGGTGCAGTCAATGAATTACATTAAACACAACACATAAACACATCACTCAATACGCTGTATATATCTATCTGTGGATTGGCTCTCAAACACGTCTCTCCAGTAAACGTATCGCCAAATTCGTGAACATAATATCCGTCTGGAATTGTATGTTCATATGTAGGCGACGATAGAGCACCGGTAGTTCACCCGAACTTTGCGCTTATTCAATTTACTTTAACAATTACTGTCAATAGAATATACAATATTTATAATAAGTTATTAAACTATTGAATTAAATATCAGTTAAATACGTCGCCTACATATGAACATACAATTCCAGACGGATATTATGTTCACGAATTTGGCGATACGTTTACTAGAGAGAGAGAGGGAGAGAGAATGGCAAGAATTTGAGTGTAATTTTCTTTATTTTTCGCCCAAATGTCTGAACAGAATATTTCTCGAGACAACTGTTCGTGTGTTTAATGCTTTTGACGTTTTGTTTATTTGAGTTTTGGGTTTTTAAATACTAGACTGTATTTGACGTAAACTGCCGTATATTTCATAACAATTGCCAGTAAAGTGTCATGTATTCTGACTGTCACTCCTATTGTATATACCGATCCACTCGTGGAGTATAATATCTCATGGATGACAATGTTGTGAAGCAGATACACATTCAATATTGTTATAACTTTAGTTCCTAAAATTCTCTCACAATGGAGACTTGTTCACTCTGAAGCTCAGAACGTAATATTAACCATGTCAAATGATTGTTTAGCTTAAATAAAACAATTTAATGAAAAAATTACGTTCCAATGGGGGGTCTAAGTGGGCTAAAACGCCCTCTAAAGTTTATGCAGTATGCATACATAGTTTGTTAAGATTGCTTCTCATACCTGCCTCTGATAGCTCAGAGGTAGCGCACAGGGCTCGTTACCGTAAGGTAGCTGGATCGATTCTCACGGCCGTCATGGTTGATCTTTGATCAACTTTTTTTTTTGTATTATTATTTATTTTAATTAATTAATTTGGTTAAATTAAGTATTTGATAAATATTTTTAATTATTAATTTTATATATTTTTCAAAATTAACATAAAAATAAAACTAATTGAATGTATTTATGTTCATTTTGTTATGTTGTAGATATTTTGTAGACAATTAGTATACAAATATCAGTTTATTTGTCAACAATATAAAATGTATTATATTTTTACATTGCATTTTGCATTTTAATATAACATTCACACTATTTAATACATACTATATCTACACCAATTAATTTTTTTTTGTTAAATATTTGTACTTTTATAAAAATTTTAATAAATAAAACACAGATTAATTTAAAAATAAAATATATATTTACGTATAAAAATATAACCAGGGTGAGAATCGATCCAGCTACCTTACGGTAACGAGCCCTGCACTCTACCACTGAGCTATCAGAGTGATATGAATGATGCTCTCTTAACTAACTATGTATGCCTACTGTTAACTTTAGAGGGCGTTTTAGCCCACTTAGACCCCCCATTGGAACGTAATTATTACATTAAATTGTTTTATTCAAGCTAAACAATCATTTGACATGGTTAATATTACGTTCTGAGCTTCAGAGTGAACAAGTCTCCATTGTCAGAACACTTTCTCAAAACACAAAAACAAACGATGTGATTGGCTACTGTATCAGTTCACACTGTTTGATTGACTTTAACATTGGCGCATAATATGAATAAAAATAATTTTAGGATCTATAGTTATAACAAATCATCTTTATTATCATTGAATGCAACTATTATTTGCTTAGAATAATAGAAACAAAAAATAATGCAATTTATAATAGACATCGACTTCTATTTACAAAATGAAATTTTATATGAACTGCAAAAGCACTTCACTATTAATTCACTACTCGTTATACAGTATATCGTTTACAGTTAACTAAACGGAGTTACGGCTAATAAAAACATTAGCAAAATTGCAAACATTTACAATATTAAGCGCTTTATTCACTAGTTTTATATAAATATTTGAAATAAAAATATTTTCTAATTTTCCAGACATACCATTGAAGCTCATTATTATGATTGTTGTTTAGTCGACGTCTACTCCTGTAGTTAAATGCGAGAAGTGTTGGCAGAGACACGACACTGACCTCTCGATATGCACTCGGATATAGTGTAGTGTTTGTCGATTTATTGCTGGATGACATAGTTGTCAATGGCATTACTTATATGATTACAATATTGTTTTATTATTTCTTTTATTCATTAAATTTTTAATAAATATTTTTCCAATTATTGAATAAAAGTCTGAAACACTTCCTTTCCTTTTACTCTTAATTCAACAGCAAATGGAAAACCAAAACATCTTTTTATGAGAAACAATAGTAATCTTCTGTAAAGAGAAATAAAAAGACGTTAAAATCACTTTATTATAAAAGTTAAATGTTTTAAATCCAATGTTATTAAAACTAATGAGAAAATTATTGTCATTTTTTCCTTTAAAAACAAATTACTTTCAGATCATAAAAGTTAACACAAAATAAGACACGAGAGAAATGTGAGAGTGATTTTCATACTCGAGAAATGCTTTTATAAACCCGTTATTTAGCCTAATATTTCCAATGACTTAATGGCATAAATTCTTGTATATGTTTTTCATATGTTTTTCGACTCTAGACTCGAGGCAATTGTGAGACAGGAATACAAACTACGGTATGGCTTGAAGTTTGTATAATATCAGTGCTCTTTCTTTCGTTTTTTATACAACTTTTTTAGTTTTTTGTTGACTTCAATAGCTTTCAGATATAATTTCACTTATTTTTCCTGTCCTTCAATTCATTCAATATTTTTCTTATTTCTAACACAAAAAAATACAATATTATTTAGAAAGCGTTTTATTTATTCAATTAGTAATCAAAATAATCAAACAATTAATTTTGAGGAGAGAAACAAAAATAAAATCGTGAAAAATTAAATTAATTAAAAGTCTCTCGTATTTAATAAGCAAATAATAGCCGTATATAAGCGACTGTCCTTACAATTGTTTAATTATCAAATGCAATAACTATTCATTTTAACAAATAATTAAATATTTATTTTAGGGCTTAATGTTAGCCAAAAACCAATTAATTATTATTATTATAGCGAATATTAGTGATATTTATTGGTATGAAGTATTTCTGTGATAATACTTCACATTAAAATAATGATTATTACCTGTATTTACATAACATTTATTTGTGGCATCAAATTATAATGCATAAAGTGCTTAATTTATAGCCTCTATAACAATATATCGATGGAGTGTTGCTCTGAAAATACATTATTCATTAACTTTATATCTAAATTAATTCGCATAAATATATAGATATCTATACCTTGACCTCAATTAATGACATTTTATTGTTTACCAAAAGTCTAATAAAAATCAAGAAAACTAAACGACAGAAATCTAAACACATTTTAACGCTTTATTTCCTTTACTTATATAAAGTGTGACCAACTTTTACACAATTCATTATATAATACGTGTTTTACTTATAATTACAACAATCGGTTTTCCCAAACATTTTTCGCCGACAATAATCTTGTTTGAAATGAAAGATAATTCACTTATCATTGAGAATATAATTATGGGTTTTATTTATTTTCTAAATACATTATAAATAATTTAATTCAATTATAAACACCTTTCAATAGTCATCATAAGAAAAGTCATGGTTTTATTAAATACAAAATTTTAATTAAAATATAAATAATAAATTAAACCTTTAACTAGAGGCAAGCATAAACCAAAAACGGCCGAGTTTATTATCAATATTGCTATCAATTAGCTCATATAAGTGTTGTGTAATTCTGGCTTCAATTAATAATTAGTTGCCAGAAAAAAGTATTAATTTGTATGATTTTGGAGGCAATTACTTGTGTTATAATACGAAAAATTAATTATTTAGACACCATTTATATATATACCAAAAAGATTATATTTATATTATTAATATTGTAATTATATTTTAGTATTTGTTTTTCACAAATGACTTGTTGTTCAAAGTATGCAAACGAAGAAACAATTGAATCCATATTAAGGTTAATAGATTTATATTATCATTGAATACAGATCTTTGTATACGGATCTCGAAAAATATTTCATATAATTAATTATATTTTAAAACGATTTACTAATAAAAAAACTAATCTTATTATTAAACACATAAATTACTAACAAATAAACAAATAAAGGAAATGTTGATATTATGTCTAAGAAGTTTGAGTCGTCTAAATATTTAACATATAAACTAATAAAATTCAGATTTGATAGCTTTAATGCAAAAATCGTTGGTTAAATATACAAGAATTAAATGCATATAAGTTATATGATATAACTTATAAAAGTTATATGAATTGCCATTTATGTCAAACTAATAATTATTTGCCAATTTTTATAAATTGTATTCAATTAAGTCACAAACTTTACAATCACTTACTTTTGTAAATGTATTTCCAAAACATAATTAGTATTTATTATTATTATTTAATAAAACTAATTTCCAGAGGAATAAAGAGTCGACTTTTATTCTGAATAAATTCAATCATTAAATAAAAAACAATTTTAGACAAATATATAAGACTTAAAATTGTAAGGTTTGAGGCAAAAGGTGGTTACGGATGTCGAGTCCATATATATTACAAGACATCAATAAATTGGGAAATGAAAGCAAGAAATTGAATGAGAAATTGTTAGTTCTTTTCATTCATTGTATGTCTTCAGTAAAACATAATAAATGGCTTCAAATAATAACATTAATAATAGTTTTATTATTTAAGTTCACATAAAAACATAAATAAATTTATACTAAATTAGAACATAAAAGACAAAAATTTAATATAAAACAAACTTCATATACAGTATAACTGTGTTCTCAATAATAATAAGCATTTCTTTGATATCGTTATTTTATTATTGATTTCTTCTCTCCCATACATTATATGCCAAACAATAGGTATTGGAATTGACATTAAATATAAAATTAATGGCAAAATAAAATTGATCTCAAAAAATATATACAGGGATTAAGTTTACGGGTCTCTCTCTCTCTCTCTCTCTCTCTCTCTCTCTCTCTCGATTAACTTCATATTTAAACGACACATTCAATCATTAAATAAACGTTTAAATGTTTAGATTTAACAGCAAATAAACCAAATTCTTGATTAATCTAAAGCATAGATTAGATGACAAATCCATACTTGCATTGCTCTGAATGTGAGAGAGAGAGAGAGAGAGAGAGAGATCTAATTTCTTTGTGTCTATTATTAAAGAAGCCTTAAATTAGATTCTGATTCTATGGATTGAATTCTGGTCACAACTGTGCGACCCCTCAGCCCCTGAACACACAAAACGACATTTCTATTTAAATATTTATGTGAGAATATAAAGTGTTTTTCAAGGATTAGACTCTGAAAAGAGTAACAGAATCGGAGAATTAGTGTTCATTTCTGTCAATAGAGACTAAAAAGCGAGTGAAAGAAGTGAGAGAAGAGAGGAGAGGAGACAACACCAAAAAGACGGCAAACGGTTCACATATTGAGAGTCTATTTATAAACAAGAATTGCTCCAATTCTTCAGCATTTAATCTGAATAAAACTTATTTAACATTCAAAACACTTGCCATCGCTTCCACTCCTTTACTGTCTATCAGACCATTAAAAAAGGTTTCATTATTTTTTAGTTTAATTAAAATGTGACAAAAATTGAGTTCAGTTCTCCACTCACTTGTAATTCACATGAATTTACAACATATTGTGTTATTATTTATTAATTATTAATAAATATATTAATACTTTACGCAAAAACTTGATAAACTAACATAAAAATGACATTCATTAAACATAAATATAATGTGTTAGCTAATTGTCAAAATAATTTAATAATAATATATATTTAAGTGTTAATTACGGTAAGTATTCTGAATGACAAGAATTCAAGAATAATGATAATAAAATAAATATAACTTTTTTATCGTGTTGTTTATAGAATCAAATCCATTTTATTGATTGATTATAAAACAAGTGTTTGTTTTATTATCTCAACGAATAAAACAATTTTCTCAAAAAGTCATATAATTTTTGTTGTTGTGATGTATTATTGTGTGAATTATAAACGAAAATAATGCTACAGAATGTCGATAAATGTTAATATGTTTCGTCGAAATAATCAAAATGACATTCAATTAATACGAAAAAATACATATAAAAACACAATGACTTATAAATTCTTAATATTTAGTGTAAAACACATGCAATTTCTGTCTGACTTTTGATTTCGCTTTTGTCAACCAAAATGTGTTTTCGAAGTCTCGCTTCTTCTCTAACGTCTACTACTTTTCCTATTATTTATTATTCAATACTTTTGTGTCTTATTTCTATCGTTAAATCACATTCAGAGCAATGCAAGTATGGATTTGTCATCTAATCTATGCTTTAGATTAATCAAGAATTTGGTTTATTTGCTGTTAAATCTAAACATTTCTATATTTGTTATACAGTTATAACGACGACACGAATCCATTGAAAATCAAATCTATTTTACCAAAACATTATATGTCAATATCGCCACCAAATAAATGTAAGTTCAATTATAATATTTTGCATTTCCATACATATTATATTCAATTATTATTAAGAAGGATTAGTAGAGAATATTTAATTAACAAAATGCATTATATGCCTATTCAATATAAAACACTCTAATATTATTAACATAAAAATTCTTACAATGTAGAATATAATGAATAAAACCCATTAAAATTTTAACTATTTTGTATAATAAATATGACTATAATATGCACTAAAATTGGGCGATGGCTGCAGTTTAATAGCAACAAAAATTAAACCATATTTTTATTATTTTCTACAAAATCGCTTCTTTTGAAGAAATAAATTCAATAATAAAATGTTATAAAAGTATATTTGTATTCAAAGCACATCCCGTTTACATCGGTCTCGAAATAATAGACGTGAACGCCATTAACGACGCCGAAAATGTAAGTCTTCTTTAATATCTTATATTA